TAAAGTCTTATGACGTAGCATAGCCTTGAAGATGTTATTGCATTACTTGTTTTGTATTAAGCTAAGACAAATTGGCGTAAACATATTATGCACTGAAGGTAGGTTAGAGGTTATTGCTTAAAGAAACACATATGTTCCATTTCTGACACCTTGTCAGTTTGCAATATCTCTTAAAGACAAAGTACACAGTTTAAGAAATACAACATTTCATTCTAAAACTTATAATATTTGAATTTGCCCATAACAGTTCAAAAACCTGTTCACATACATATTAATTATATCCTTGAATTTTCTATTTTTGCAAGAAAACACCCAAACCTTTGTAAACAAAAAAATCCATATAATCTGATAAGCATACTTTTTAAGTTAGAGAATTTCACATATTTATTGTTCTCATTGTAAAGAACCCCCTTTTTCCTCTGTAAGCAAAAAATGGCTTTCTTCCAGTCTCAGTTTTTCTTACGTCTCTCTATCCTTTCTTCCTAACTATTGTTTTCATTCCCCTTATTAATTAGCTTGCCTCTGCGCTTTATTTTAGTTCTGCAATTTCCTTCTGTAAATCTAGAGCCCAAAATTTCAAGGTTGGATTTATAAAGATGCTAAATTATATTTTGATTATGTGAATCAATCTAGTCTTTGCAATGGCAGACCAAAATTGCATACTGTTACCTAGTTTCTTATCTATAATTATTCACAAGTCCTTTTCATTTAATGTTATCCCTAACACAACCCAATTTAATGTATAAGTGGCTTGAGGGTTCCTTGATCCAAAATGCATGATCTTGCATTCATCTATATTGAATCTCATCTACCACTTGCCTTCCCACTCACCCAATTTATCCAAATCCCTCTGTAGAGAAGTAATATGATGTTTGCACTCTAATATCTTACCTAGTTTTGTGTCATCTGCAAGCAGCGATACATGGCTTTAAATGCCCACTTTAAGGTCACCTATAAAAAGAGAAGTGGACCCAGTACAGAACTCTAAGGCTTAGCACTTTAAAAAAAAAAATCATTTAACAACTACTCTCTGCCCTCTATCTTTAAAGGGCCATTATAGGCACTGTAGCTGCTTCATCTCATTGAAGTGGTTATAGTGTCTGGAGTCAGAGAGGTTGTAGCACAATGGCACTGGGAGCCACAATACTGCTGGCTTCTGACTGTTGTATACAGAAAGACTGGAACTGTGCTGTCCTAGCTAAAGTCGGTGTGGCTATATAACTTATGAGCAACCTAGACATGTTCATTGTGCACCCACTCTGAAGCGCACCTAGTGGGTTCAAATGCGCTCTGCACGCCATTAGTGTTTTTTTTGTTATCTTACTTGTGGCTTGAAGACCAGGTTGCAAATCTTAATTTTTTTTATTCCTGTACTCACGAGGAAACTGCACACTAAAAGTGCACACTCCCTTAAAATGCAATCAGTCCACAGTACAACCTGACGACCAGGTAAGCTGCATTCCAAAGTTTGATTGGGTGAGTGGAAAATGTTTTGATATGATGGGGGGGGGGGAGTAAATGGGAAAAAAATTATGTATGTGCAGTATGCAGTAGCCGAGGGGAAATAGAGTGGCAGAGGTTGTATGGAGTGACAGAAGGAGTATGGAGTAGCAGAAGGAGTATGGAGTAGCAGAAGGGGTATGGAGTGGCAGAGGGGGTATGGAGTGGCAGACAGAGTAGGGAGTGGTAGAAGTAGTATGGAGTGGCAGAGGGGGTATGGAGTGGTAGGGGGTATGGAGTGGCAGAGGGGGAAGTGGTAGGGGTTAAGGTGGTAGGGGTATGGAGTGGTAGACAGTTTAAGTAGTGGTAGTAGTATGAAGTGGTAGGGGGTATGGAGTGACAGAGGGGGTATGAAGTGGTAGGGGGTATGGAGTGGCAGAGGGGGTATGGAGTGGTAGGGGGTTAAGGAGTGGTACGGGGTTAAGGAGTAGTAGACAGTTTAAGTAGTCGTAGTAGTATGAAGTGGCAGAGGGGGTATGGAGTGGCAGACAGAGTAGGGAGTGGTAGAAGTAGCATAGAGTGGCAGAGGGGGTATGGAGCGTTAGAGGGAGTACTGAGTGACATAAGTAGTATAGAGTGATAAAGTGGGTAAGGAGTGTCAGAGGGGGTATGGATTGGAGAGATGAATATGGATTTGCAGAGGGCTAGAGTTAAATGGGGTTGTGAGGGGAGCTATTAAGGGTCTTGTTAGAAGGATAGATGGATAATGGCATAGATGAGGTTGCATGGGCAAAAGGGTTGTGGAAAGTGGATAAAATATATGTCTTACTAGAGGTAGATGAAATAATTAGTGCGAGGGCTGCATAAAAAAATATGCTTGTAAGGTATTCATGTGTACATTTCTACCTGTCAATCTCTTTCTCTATCTCTCTCTCTCTATGCACAATAAAGTGCACATGGGAATATGTATATTTCGAGAGTATTTAAACTATATGGGAGAAAAAAAGTGTATGTTATGTATTGGATTTTTAAAAATTTATTTACAACACTGCTTTTTTATATGTAACTTTTTTATTTGGTACATGGTTTTCCTAAACATTTTTCTAGTGAAAACACTACATCCAGGACACCCAAATTACTCAAATTCCGAGGAGGTTTTTTCCCTCAAACTGCTTGCTAGTGCAGAGGTTAACACTTCTCCCTTTGAGTGTGACATAAAGCGTTCATCTTATTAAGTTTAGCAAATGGGTGAAATTGTTATCTTATGTGACATTATTTAAATAAGTACCATGTCATTGCAGCTAAAATGCTATATCTAATGTGGTTTAAGTGATCAAGGTGACTAACCGAATACCTGAGATAAAGGTATCTCAGGTTCATTTATGTAAATTAATTTGGCACAAAGGTTATAAGCAAAGATCATTAAGTATCTTCAAGGTATTTTCTAGTTCCAAGGTCTTTTCAACAATCAATTCTTTTTTTCAAAAAGATGAACGTGTCAATGCAATGAATTACATATGGAAAGACAAGTTAGTGGCACAATGTGTGAAAAGATTAAGTTAGCACTGTAAACATAATTAAAAATAACCCTCTCCCATACACTACATTTTATCACCATAATAAGACCCAAGTGTCCAAATAAGAGATCGGACTCTAGTCAGATGGTAACTTTTGTGGTTTTCTTTTGTCATTTGCTGTTATTATATAAAAATGGCTTCATGCTGACTTCCACTAGTGACATAATGATAATATTTTTCCTAATTCTGGCTCCCAGTTTATTATATAAAGGATGGCTTCCCTTCGTAGAAATTGCTGAGTAAGCTACGGTGACATATTGACAATTATTCTTTGCGACGTGTGGGTTCTTACACACTATTTCTATTGAGTGTTGATTGCCAGATATCAGATATTCTTAAAGTAAGCAAGGTTTTATTTTTAGCAATTCATGTGACTTTGATTAAAGAAAATGTTATTGCTGGCTTACTGAATGAAACGTAATAATTCTATAATTCTATTATCATCTATTAGATCCCTAAATTTACCATTCCTTTATTATTTCATTATTTTATGTCTAGATTATATATGTGTTTTTTAAGGTTCTTAATGGTGTACATTTTGAGATATGATTGCAATTATCAATTTTCTTTTTACTTCTTTTAAAAAAAAAAAAAGAAAAATTACTTATTTTTTTGTATTTTAATGGTTTTTACAGATGCGGTGAGACCTAGATGTTTTTTATTCTCCCACGTCAGTTATCATAATCTACGTTGTTTCATCTCTTGGTCTTTTAGTTCTGTTCATCTCATTATTTGACTTGGAAAGAAGTACGTACCTAATGCCTGTTCCATTTTGGAAACCTCAATTCTCCATTCTAAGATATTCTGTAAAATATTTAGCTGCTATCACTACTTACAAGCGTTCACTTTTTTTTTTTTTCTTATCCAAATCTGGACAGGTTTTAGTTACTGCAAGGAAAAGAGAAAGTAAAAGTTCAGAAGATATTCAGGAGGTTAGGCAAATCTTTCTCACTTATATGAAAATTATGAACAAGGGAAGTGTGACGGACCCGCTGGCACTCCAACCGACACCATCGGCACTGCAGACTTATCCCATCCCCCAACAAACAGTTAACAGAGTACCCCACCCACAATACACCATTACTGCCCCTGGTGATTCCTGGTGTCCGGCTCTGGCCGGTATGTCCCAGGTTGCTGAGGGGAACTAGTGGGCAGAGGCCTTCTGCTGGGTTGGCCGGTAGGTATTCAGGCTCTGACCAAGAGGGCAAGGGAGGGCAGAGGCCGACCGCGCTCTGCCCGGATGCCAGCTCTTCTGCTGGAAGGGGGTCAGTGGAGGCTAATATCTCCACTAAACCCAGTACCGGGTTAGGGGTTGGCTGTGGAGGGGAGGGGTCGCCTACTTCCTCCTCCTGGTACTTCTGCTGCTGCTGGGGAGCGAGACCGGTTGCCTCCTCTCCCTGGGGCTCCAACTGCAGTTGGGGATCTGGGCCGGCTGCCCAGCATCCCTGTAGGGCCAGTGGAGAGACCTCGTCCCATCTCCACCTGCCGTTTGGGGGTCCTCCAAGGACCAGTCCATGATGTCCCCTACCTCGGCTACCTCTGGTTGCTGTTGGGGAGGGAGACCGGTTGTCTCTTCTCCCACTAACACATTCAGCTGCTGGGGAGGATGACACCTTCTGCTCCCTGTGTTGTGCACTGCCGCTGGGGAGAAAGGTTGTCTCCCCTCCCTGCAATGTACGCTGCCGCTGGGGAGGGAGACCGGTTGTCTCCCCTCCCTGTTCCACACACTGCCGCTGGGGATCTGGGCCGGCTGAGGAGAGACCTCGGTCCCATCTCCACCTGCCTGTTGGGGTTCCTCACAGTAGCAGTCTATGAGGACCCCTACTTCGGGTACCTCTTGTGTATGCTGGGGAAGGAGACCGGTTGTCTCTTCCCTCTGCACGGTGCACTGCCGCTGGGGAGGGAGGTCGCTGCTCTCCTCTCCTTTCCCTGTGACTCGGTCTGCTGCTGGGGAGAGAGACCGGTTGTCCCCAGCCCCAGTTTTCACAATCTGAACTCACATTCCCGTGCTGCTTGGTTCTCCTCATCCAACTCTTGCATGATACGGACGATCACCTCTTCCGAAGGGTCTGGGTCATACTCGACTAGCCGCCTCTTTACCTCCGCAATGTAAGCATCGCCCTCATAGCAATAGGTCATGTTCACTTGGCCCCCACTCTGGGCCACTAGCGCTCCAATCCACGCCTTTTCTGATTCTCTGTAGACAGGGGTGCTGCCTCGAGTGCTAGCGTTGCCCTCACTTGTAGCTCCATAACGCTACCGGTGTCTCTGGGCTGCTTCTCCTCACACTAGGACGCCATCCCACCGCTTGCCACCAAATGTGACGGACCCGCTGGCACTCCGACCGACACCATCAGCACTGCAGACTTATCCCATCCCCCAAACATGAGCCAAGGCTTCAAGAAAGGGTCAAGCAGGTCTGTTTAAAGAGCACACAAAAGCAACAGCACTCATGCAATAAAAACTCCTCCTCAGTTAGTGTTTGGATATTTGACAGTTATTGGAAGTTGCAGAACTGTGCCAGTACCATTTAAAGGGCCAGAACAGTCTTTTTAAAACACCAATAAGTCCAAATGGTGTTTCTAACTGGCAAAATCTTCCAGGGACCATAGTCATACGGCAAGAGGCTGGTAATTAGTCCTCTCCAGGCACAAGTGGCGAAGGGGCACTTCGTCACAGGAAGACACTCCTATGGGGCAATAAATAGAGCCAAATTGACCAGGATTTACCAATGAATTATTATTGAAAATTCTAGAGCACTTTTACTTTTTTTTTATGTTTAATGCGGCGATGAAAATTTTATTAGGCTATTTTGCAGTTTATATTTTTTCAAGCATTTGTTTTTAACGTCTACATGTAACAACTTTTTTATTAGTTTGTTTTCAAATGTACACTATCTGGTGTTAACCTGACTCAGAAACTTAGCAGTGAACAGCCTAGTGGATGGCAGTTAATTTAAAACAAATTATTCCAACCTTTCTTTTATCATCACACAGTTATGACTTTCAGATTGCTTAAAACAAATATCAATAAAATGCAACAATAAAAAGGAATCTTTACAGTCTATGTGCTGACCCATTGTTGTTTAGCTACAATATATTAACCCATTCCGCTGTAGTGACTGTTTAGACTAGATCACTACTCATATACTTAGTTACCACAATATTTGTAACCGTGCAGTACACACTAGGACCAATACTACTTCATTCGTCAGACTACCCCTTCCCATTAAAGGGACACTCCAGTGCCAGGAAAACAATCTGTTTTCCTGGCACTGCGGGTCCCCTCTCCCTCCCACCTCCCTTCCCCGGTTGCTGAAGGGGTCAAAAGCCAATTACCAGAGGCAGCGACGATGTCCCTCTGCGCTGCTTCTTGGTCCGCCCACGCTCCTCCCCTTCACCACGTCAGCCAGCGGAGAAGACTGATCACGCCCACCGGCAGGGGAGACCTAATGCGCATTAGACTTCCCCATAGGAAAGC